TCAAAGAAGCTAAGAGGGAGAGGATGTTCTGAGCATCCTGATCCCAGGTGTCGCAGAACTAGGGTGACCACACTCTGGCATGGTACTGGGCACATTATACAAAACCAGCATTGGGCGAAGTTCTCCGGTGCCAACACTGGGATCTCCACACAGGAGATACTAAGGTGCACCCAGCCATCAGTTCTATTTTATTTTCCAAGCCAATAGAGAAATCACCAAGTAGTAGTAGTATAGGGCTTATGTGGTGGTTTACGCATCACTTTTATTTCTTAGCTGGGTACTTTTCTGGACTCATCAGACACAAATTCCTTAAGGAATATTTTAGAGTATGATAGTGTTAGGCGAAATCAGGGAATATGTGGCAACAGCGGTAGAGAAACTGGGATCTGAGAGCAGATCACCGACACGTAATATGTCATTTAAGCAATCAAATGAAGAAAATGCAGACCACCTAAAGGATCACCTCCCATGTATACTTAGACCTCAAGATTATTCCCAGAGACCATTCCCCAAATCACTCCCAGGTCTGTCCCCCCAGTGCAATTGGGGAGGTGCAGTTTTGGCAGTAGCAATATGGCTGTGGAAAGCCCAGACATTCCACGTTCCAGATACTGCTTTGCTTTTGTGAAGGTGTAAAACACTGGAGTGAGCAATTTAACATTGCCTTAAGGTTCTTGTGAACCACCCTGAGATCTTTGGATGCAGGGCAGTATATAAATAGTTATAGTAGTAGTAATAAAATAACGGTAATAGTAACAATGGTTTCATTTGTTAAATTTTAAATGTTAACTTCCAGAATGAAATTGGTGTTTTGAAATCCCCAAAGTTCAAATTAACATTCTCAGTTGTTTGGTCACTTTTCTCAACACTTGCTGTCAATCTCATGTTGGACTGCCAACCCTGTCCAGCCTGGTGTCATGAACTGGCAGGACAACGGGCTGGAGGAAGAGGAAGAGGAAGAAGAGGATGCTGACAAAGGGTGTCTAGCTACACCAGAGCAAGCTGTCTCCCTGAACATGGAGGGCTCTGAAGCACAGGGAGCCGGGGAGGGGTGGCTAAGGCAGGCAAGGTCCCAGAGCCCAGCTCCCTAGCTGGCCAGGTGCAGCTCACTAGCTCTGGGAGGAGAAGTGATTCCTCAGCTGGAGTAGGCTCAGGACAGGTGAGGGTCACATGCCTCATCAAGCCAGATCCACCAATAAGCATGCAAAGGACAAAGGGGAAGCAGAGCTGAGGGGCTGTGTCTGCTCAACTGCCCATGTTGAGGGACCTTGACTTGGAGGCTCCTGGACCTCCATGGTTCAGGTTTGACTCTGGACTGTATCCTGACTGCTGGTCTTTGGACTTGGCTGCTTGGATTGACCCTGAATCGTTTCCTGACCTTTGGACTTCACTTGTATGGATCGACCCTCAGACTTTGAACTTTGGACTTGGCACACTGACTTGCTGCCAGGTAAGCCAGGGTTCAAGACAACTGGAAGTAGCGGGGGGGCCACTCTGCTGCAGGTGGGAGGAGGGCAGGGCTAGATGCAATGGTGGCCAGGGCTGTGGGGTGTGAGATATAAAAACGCCAGTGCCAAGACTCTGGGTCCCGAGACCCTTGAAATAAAGTCTGAGCAAAATTGGTGAAGCAGCAAAGAGTTTTATTGATTACATCTTTCTTGCAAGAAGGGGGTGTCCCAAAAGCACGCACACCCAAGTTCAGTAAAACACAAGCATATACAGTCAAACCTTAGTTGTTGAACATAATCAGTTCTGGAAGATGGTTTGACTTCCGAACCGTTCAACAACCAAGGCGCGGCTTCTGATTGGTTGCAAGAGCTTCTTGCACTCAAGCAGAAACCACACCAGACATTCAGGTTCCCAAAACTGTTCGAAAACCGGAGCATTTACTTCTGTGTTTTGGCGTTCGGGAGCCGAAACGTTCGAAAACGGAGCCGTTTGAGAACCGAGGTTTGACTGTATTCCCTTCAACTGAGTGCAAATTCCCTCCCCACTTCCCCATTGGTTGGGGGGGGGGGTGTGCCTAATTAAAATACTAAATTCTCCACCTCTGTTGACATCTCCCATTCCTCTGAATTCAGAGACCATCACCCTTAATGACATTCGACCTTAAAAGGAAGCATGTTCCTATGGTCTTACACATTTACTCAAGCGATGAAGCCACGTCCTGACCACCCCTTAGGCATACACAAGTTTCACCCCTGCTGAAGTGTGTTGAAGCGTCTAGATAAACCACATTCTAGCAGCAAGCTGCCCTGTTTTGGGGCATTGTAGCCACAAGCCAGAAAAGATAAGTCCCAAAGCGAGTCTGTGGTTCCTTATCTGTGCAACCTTCTGCTCAGATGGTGCAACTTTCTGAGGCCTTCGGCCTTTTATGAAAAAGCGACATTCTCCATTTCTTACAGGGGCAAGGGCCCAAAGTGTCTGGAACCAGAGCCAAAAGTAAGCAGGACTCCCCTCTTTTTCTGCCACCCCCTTTCCCCCCCAGCTTCCACCCCCAACTCCTTACCCACCTGCATGACATCAGACCAAAGACTATGCAGGCCTCAGGTCTGCCCACCCTTGGCTGCTGAAGCTGCAAAGAGCTGACAGGGTAGGAGAAAGTGTGTTTCCTGGGGCTGACGGGACAGGGAGGGAGATGGCAGAGCCTCAACCTTTCACTCACCAGCTCTGTTCGAAACAGAGGCTGAAAGCAAGTGCATTTTCCAGAAAAGCTGCTGTCAGGTCCTGTGCTCGCCCTTGTTGGTCACGGAGAGGCTGCTGCCCAAAGACAGCTTGTGGCGGTCTCTGCTGTTGAACCTCTGCCCAGCTGTCACGGAGGCCTCAAATATGTTTTGTTATTCATTAAACTATCTCCCTTTCCCCATTCTCCAGCACACAGCACATTTGCACAGACAGGCTGTCCTCCCCCACCCCTCAGCCCGCTGGCAGGGTTGTCCTTCGCAGAAAGGGAGCTCACAATAAGCGAAGGCATCCGTATGAGGGAGCAGCGATGAGGCTGACCTCTCCTCAGCCTGCTCATGTGCGAAAAATCCCCTTTCTCGGCAAAGGATGTACCTAGGTCCTCCCCTGATCTGAATAGGGAGGGGAACCTGGTCAAAATAGGAATCTGGGAGCTGCCTGATTCCCATCTGTTGCTGCACAGGAAGCCATAGGCATTTCCTACTAGGCGCTCTCTCCCCATCGGCAGGAATAACTGCTTAGCATAGCCATCTTCCCTTGCCTGGATGCTCTCTGCAGTAGCAGGGTGGTAATGAGAGAAACCGATCTTGAGAACTGGTAGCTGCTGATCCCCAGAAGACGAGAGTGGAGAAGTACATGCTAATCTGAAATGCATTGACTTCAGTCTCAGCTGAGAGGCTCTTATCAAATGTTTCTGCTGACAGGAACAGCGCCCAGTAGGAAATGGCTGCAGATTTCTTGGGCAGCAACAGATGAGCATCAGGCAGTTATCAGTTATCTCCCTTTCTTTACCTTACTTGCTACAGGTCAACCGGGGACCAAGCTGCATCCTCCCACAGCCTCTCCTTCCAAGAGGGAGAGAAAAATATCTGTTCCCATGGAGGCTGCACATGCACCATCCATTTCAACTGCACTCCCCACACAAAAAAATCTGGGAATTGTAGTTTATCCCTTGCAGAGCTACAATTCCCAGCGTGGTTAACAAGTTACACTTCCCAGAATTCCTCTTTTTAAAGGGGGGGTTTGCATTAAACTGTGTACTCTTCATAGAGTTACTGGGATAGTTCAGTCGGTAGAGCATGACTCTTAATCTCAGGGTCATGTGTTCGAGTCTCGCGTTGGGCAAAATAATTCTGCATTGCAGGGGTTTGAAATGGATAACTCTTGTGGTCCCTTCCAACTCTGATTCCCAGTCCCCGCTGTCGCCACAACATTCCTCCCCTGTTGCCCATTAGAATCCATTAAGTCTGTTGAGGGAAACCCTCTTAATATTACTATCTTAGCGTTATGGCACAAGGAGAAAGGGCCGTGGCTCAGTGGCAGAGCAGATGTTGGCATGCAGAAGTCCCTGGCATCCATTTCGGTTCTCTCCATTTCTCCCCCCCCCCCAGTCTTTCGGTTTGCAAGTCGTTTTTGGAAAGGGTGGCTTGGATTGATGTGCCTTTAAAATGCAAAGTGAATCGAGTTTCTCTGCTGCCTGAAACCCTAGGCGGCAGCTGGCAGGCAATGTGGACAATGGTGAGCTACAGGGGACATTGGTCCAACTCAATACTAGACGATTTCCTATGTTCCACTGCGTCCAGAAAGCAGCGAACCTTTTGGAGATTCACTGACGTACAAACCTGAGCGTCTTGTAAGGACAGTCATTATAAGGTACTTTGTCATCTCTGTGTTGTACTCTCAAAGCCCACTTCTTTAGCAAAGCCCTTCTCTGAAGATCTTCGTTTTTCCTACTCCAACTTATACTGCTGCATGTGTGTGCACCTGTGAGTGCACTGCTATATAGATCCACTTCCCCTTCTCCCTCCTGCCTCTTTGCCCCGTTTTCGCTTGTAAGCGCTTTTCAACAGGGGAGCCCCTCTTACTTTGTTCCGTAAAGCACATTGATGGCGCTGTATAAAAGATAAATAGTAGTTGTTTTACTAGAGTGTGATTTCCAGGGGGATGAATGTGGAGTGGCTGAGCTGTGCTCTGTTTTGCAAAGGCACACATGCCTCCCATCTACCACAGTACGTGCAGCGGAGAGAGATGTCGTCTGGGGCTGAGTGCAAGTGCATTTAATTATCTGCAGAGTGAGAAGAAGGTAGTGTTGTCTCAGGTGTTGTTCAGTAAAATTCTGCTAAATTCTTTACAAGTAGCCTTTAGGGGGAAATGCACAGGACAGGGGGAAAGAGAAGCACCAGGAAAAACAAAACCTGGGATGTCCAATGATTCCAAAAGCAACCATATAGATGTGGTACCATATAGATTCATAGAATTGTAGAGTTGGAAGGGACCACAAGGATCACCTAGTCCAACTCCCTGCAATGCAGGTCTCTTGTCCAATGTGGAAATCGAATTCACAACCCTGAGATTAAGAAGCTCATGCTCTACCAAGTGAGCCTAAAGACTTACACTTTTGTTTAATGGCACAAGCTTTTGTGGACTGGAGGCTACTTCATCAGATGTGGAAAATGTTTGGATAGCTTTGCAAATCTGTGTAAGGAAGAATAACAGTCTTGTGGAACCTTAAGACGCTGACACCCTTTCCCTTGCTTAATCGTGATCTTATCGGGGCAGTCCTATGCGATCCCATCTTCAATAATATTTGTGGCTGCAAAAGTTTTGGGGTGGTCATACTGCTTCATTTCGAATCAGTGCATATCCTATACCTGCTGAAATCCAGTCACTTTTCATACCACAATATTAGGAGGGGGGTGTTGTCCAGCTTTTGTTGCGCCATAGCCCCTCTGGACAGCAATAATGTGGTAGCGTTGGGGAAGCATCACAGAGCAACTAATAAAGCAAAATGAACCTACCGTTGATGCGCTACTGTTGTGGCAAAAAGCATGTTGCAGGATATGCCCACAATAAAACATCAGTCTGGAAGGGCCCTGCTGTTTATTACTGCATAAAGATTGCATGATCCCAGTTATTTGATTAAGTGTGGGGTTTGAAAACTGTGGCTTCCCATCTCGTTTGTGGGTAGAGATGCCTCTTGTCCTAACCCTTGCGATAAGCGTGGATCTCTTGCTCTCTAGGAAGGGAAGCCAAGGACAGCGGTTTTCCTCTCCCTTGGACAGCTGCTTGTTGGCAGGTGGCCCGAAAGAGGGTGGAGCGCAGGGAAGCCTTACATTATAACTTGACTGTGAGCTGCTTTCATTTTTAGTGTCCCATCTGTGTGGGCTCCCCAACAGCCTTCTCTCCAGCAACCAGTGAAGTCAGGAGAACAGGACACACCTGCCCAGCTCAGCCAGGAGCATCCGCACCTTAGTGCCCACCTGGTCCCTGGTAAGTGGCATTTCCCTGGTTGTATCAGCTTCTGTGCTGTCAGATAAGCCTCTCTGCCAGATTGCAACCATGCCAGGGAGTATGGAACTGTGGCCAAGACACTGCTTATATCGCTAACACTCAGCCCAACCCACAGCACCTGTTCAGGGCAATGTGTGCGGCTGGTGGTGGCAACAGCATCTAGTGCAGCTCAGGCAGCTGATGTCAAGAGAGAAAGCCTCCTTCTCTGCATCTCCCAGGGTCTGGTGGGTGGATGAGGCATGGAACAACGGTAGTCCAGTGGTAGAGCTGCTGCTTCGTATGCAGAAGATCCTGGGTTCAGTTCCCAGCATCTCAAGGTAGGGCCAGGAGATAAGCCTGCCTGAATCCCTGGAGTTCCCTGTCAGTTCTGAGCTACGTGGACCAGACCCAGTATGGGGCAGCTTCCTATGTTTCGCTGGGGGCAACAGAGCCCTTCTGTCATTGAACGATAAACTGAAGCAGAGGAGGGAGGCAAGGCAGAGTTGGCCTATCAATCTCGTCTCCTATCATGGGACATTTCTGACTTTTTCCAGTGATGCAGGGGGCGGAGGAGAGTGAGGAGGAAGGGAAGATTCCTTGGACTGAAAGCAATAAGCACATGCGTGATTTCTTTCTTTTAAAAAAATTATATTAAGTTTCAACATTTTAAACACATGCAGTCATAACATAGTTTTGTCTTTTATTTTTTACTTCCCATCCCCTTTTCGATGGAGTTTTTTAACCCCTTCTGCTCCATCTTCTATCAAATCACAACCACTAATTACTTCTGTTGCTCATAGCTCAAATCCATACTATAATATATTTTAAAATAGTTCAAAAAAGGCATTCCCTCTTCCATAAAACAAGAAAATGTGCTATTTCATGGAAGAGTACAGACAAGGAGTTGGGTCAGAGTGTTTTCAGAGAGCTGAAAACTGACCCTGTGTAACTCTGGGCATAAGTCCTCCAGACTTTCAGCCATCTGAAGTGCGTTTAGTCTTGCTGGCAAAAATTGTTAGAAGTGGAACAGGGATGTGATAAATGGGAAAACTCTTGTGCCCAAATCCTAGATTTGTAAAGCTCCAAATGTCGAGATAATCCAAGTGCCTTGTCCAGTTGAATAATGGAACCACCACCATTAGGAACATAGGAAGCTGCCTTATACCAAGTCAGATCATTGGTCAATCAAGCTCAGTGTTGTCTACACTGACTGGCAGCAGCTCTCCAGGATTTCAGACAGGAATCTCCTACCTGGAGATGCCAAGGATGGAACCTGGGACCTTCTGCACTCGAAGCAGATCCTCTACCACAGAGCCACAGCCCTTCTGCTCATTGTGGATTAGGGTTTTGGCTGGACAATGCCCAGAGATGCTAGATTCCTTTAAGGTAAAGGTAAAGGGACCCTTGACCATTAGGTCCAGTCGTGGCTGACTCTGGGGTTGCGGCGCTCATCTCACTTTACTGGCCGAGGGAGCCAGCGTATAGCCTCTGGGTCATGTGGCCAGCATGACTAAGCCCCTTCTGGCGAACCAGAGCAGCACACGGAAATGCCGTTTACCTTGCTGCTGGAGCGGTACCTATTTATTTACTTGCACTTTGACATGCTTTCAAACTGCTAGGTTGGCAGGAGCAGGGACTGAGCAACAGGAGCTCACTCTGTCGCGGGGAATCGAACCGCCGACCTTCTGATCGGCAAGTCCTAGGCTCTGTGGTTTAACCCACAGTGCCACCCGCATCCCTAGATGCCTTTAGGTTTCTTTTTTTTAATAAAAAAAATGAAACTAATAAGGCCAGGGAGAAGTGGTGGTGGATGGGGGAAGCTAAAACTCTCCTCCTTTCCCCACCCTGAAGCTGGGGGGGGGGTCAGTATGGGGCTTCTATGGGTAGGGCCCTCTTTTCATAATTTAGCTTGCTGTTCTGCACCTTAGAGGAGCATTGGATCAGCTGCCGGAATGCATTCCTGCGCAGTGGTTGCACAGCACTTACAACCTTTTTCTCTCCAGTCCCAAACACAGACACAGAGCAACACATTCAAGCGCTGGACTTCAGTTTATTTGACCTCACGGAAACCAGTACAAACCCAGAGACATCAGGGCACATTCCAGGGGATGTCCCATGTGGCCTATTGTGTTTGACGGATTCATTTTTCCTAGGGACTCCCTGCAGTCCTTTGATGTCCATTATACAACAAGCGAGTATCAATCACCACAGAGGGCTTGCTGTCAGCTATAAAAAAGCAGAGCAAAAGCAAGAGCCAGGGCTTGGTGAGACTCTGGGAAGCAGTAAATATTCTGGAGAGGGGAGGGTGAGCTCCACCCTACTCTGCCTCCTTGAATATGCCAGCTCTGTGCTGGATGAGAGAGGGGTGCAGTCATGGGGCTCACAAGAGAATTAATCTTGAATAGTTGGCCTCATGTTCCTGAAGTTCTTTTATAGAAATAACTTCATTTCCATTGGAATGTTCCTTCCTTGCACTGGAGCTATGGGCCACATTTCAAATGTTCTCCGGCAAACCACCAGCCGCAAGGAACCGCTATGAGCCAATTCACACATTAGATGATGGTTGTTGAGTATGGCTGTATCCGAAAGCATTCTTATTATTATAATTACAGCTGATTTATTAATTGCCTTCTAAACCACCATCTCCAGTCAATTTACGCATACAGTAACCTATTTTTTCATAGTTGCACATTTAATTCTTTGGTATTCCCTTATCACATCTTCGGTGTATACCTAACATGTAAAATACAATGGAACAGAGATCTGGATATGAGACGAGGTAGCACACATCAGCTCCAGGTTTTGTGGGACTTTGGGACAAATGCCTTGAGCATTCACCTCCTTGCCACTGTCACAAATGCCCATTTGCTTGCAGCAATGCCAAAGAAGAGAAGCAGGGTCAGCGATTTCTGGGAGGTAGTCCGGGGGCCCCCATGGGTTTTTTGTTGCTGGCAAGTGTCTCATGATGTTGACTCCAAAACAGACCCCAAGCAGCAAGCAAAGAACATGGCTGGTTGGGAGAGAAACAAGCCATGAACCTGGGGTGGGGAGGGCAGACAACACAAACCAAACTCCGGCTTATGTCACCCATGGTACAGTGGCAGAATACCACCTTTGAAACTTTTAAGCAGCATGTGCCAGCCCGTTAAACCATAGGGTTTAATCCTCCCCAGTGGCACAGGTTATCAGCTAACCTTCTGTTAACCAGAAGGTTGGTGGTTCATTGCAGAGGGTTGAACTAGATGGTCCTTGGGGTTCCTTCCAACACTATAATTCTATGTGACATGCGAACTGAGCCAGGATGTTGCCATATTCTGAAGAGAGCAAACTTCTTCTTTTTTACTGTTTCAAAAGAAGATTTTATTACATGGGTTATTGGAAGATAACAATGTTCATTTACTCTTTATATAGAAAAATATTTGCATACCACTATTCATAAAAAAGGAAAATTAAACTGTTTGGAAAACCATGCATATAACAGAGGAGTATATCAGTCAGGCTGTAATAGAATGGTACTCAATACAGAAGCCAGTCTAGAGAAAAAGAGCTCCTAACACAGCAGCTTTGTAGACAGTTTTCAGTGGTACAGTTTTCCTGACTGTTGATCTAAAGGCTTTCTTCATGCCTTCATACATTTTGTGAGTGTTGCAGGTGTCAACAGTGAGCTGAATGTTCTGACACAGCTTTCGTTAGTAGTCATTGGCCATCTGCTGAACATCGCTCCTTGCCTTTCTCAGTGTAGCAAGAGTCCTTTTGCAAGGCGCATGCTTGTAGTTCGCAAGAGCCTTGTGCTTTGCAGCCATAAAAGGCTCTATGTCCTTTATGCCAGTCTCAAACCAGACAGGGATCTGTTACTCTCTTTTGCCAAAGGAGGACATAGCTGTGTTGCAGGTTGCCTCTTTGATGTAGTTTCCTGCTTGCTTTGTTGCTATCCCTGGGGCAGTTCAGTTGAGATTGTTTGACAGTGTTCAGACTCTGCCTGTCTTGGAAGAGCTGGATGTCCCTCCCTCTCTTGACGAGCTGATGAACATCAACTCTCAGGCATGTGGTAAAGCCCCAGGACAGGACAGAATCCCTCACGACGCAACTCTACGGCCTTCTCTTGCAGTGTTGGGAACAAGGATCTGTGAAACAAGACATGCGTAACTCCAGCATTGCAACCCTCTACAAGAACAAAGGTGACTGCAATGACTGTAAGAATTTCCATGCAATCTCCCTACTGAATACTGTGGGGCAAGCCTTTGTAATCAACAGATTACAGTGACTCGCTGACAGCATCTATCCTGTGTAACAGTGCAGCTTTAGAACTCAGAGGTCAACAATTGACATGCTGTAGGGGAAACGCTGAGCGCAGAGATACTGTATTGCCTTCATAGACCAGATGAAGGCCTTTTTGCTTGTCAGCTGAAAAGGCCTCTTTACCCTGCTCAGCTAGATAGGATGCCCACCTAAGCTTCCCAAGATGATTATGTCCTTCCAAGAGAACGTGCACAGCACCTCCCAGTATGACGCCTTAGCTTCAGATGTCTTGCCCATAAAGAGTGCTGCAAAACAGTGCTGTGTTCTCGCCCCAACTCTCCTAGGCACATTCTTCTTCCTGGTTCTCTCATATGCCTTCAGCTTGACTGAAGACAATGTGTACTTTCATTCAAGGAGCAACAGGGGTCTGTTCAACCTAGCACATCTCCATGCCAAGGCAAAAGTGTGTTGTTTGCAGAAGATGCAGCCTTAACAAAGCACACCAAGGAAGCTCTGCAGAGATAAATGCGATGCCAACAACCGATACCAAGATGAAAGTCTGCCAGGCTTGTGTGATGAGCATGCTGCTTTGTGGTAGTGAGACGTGGGCAGCTTGCACCCGCAAGGAGCGATGCCTCAATGCCTTCCACATGTGCTGTGTGAAGATTGGGGGCACCACGGGGGGTGCCACTAGGGGCGCATTGGAAGATGGCCGACAATAACATCTCTCCGACCCACACGAGGTAATTAAGAGGCTGTGATGGGAGTAAGCAGCCTCCCGGCCCCCCCAAGCGAGTGGGGGGGACTGCCCTTGCCTGCTGTGCCCTATACCACCCCCGAACTCGAGGGGGTGGGGGCACTAGGCAGAAAGCCCTTGTGTGGACCTCGGCTCTCCTGGACGCTGTCTCTGATTCGCGCCTCTAGCTGCAGCAACTTCAAAAGAAACAATTAGGAGGAAGCTAATGCACATATTTCAAGGAAGAATGGGGAGTAAAGACTGCTAATTGAAGAGATCTCTGATAAAGAAGACGGGTCGGATAAACAAGAATATATCATGAGAAGACACACCAAGGCTCGGTATGTCGGCAACGGGACTGGATGGGGGGAACTTTCCTTTCTTTTCTCTATGTGATTAACCAAGAATCCCCCCCCACAAGTCAGAAATGCCGCTTAAATGACCTAAGCTGATGATTTAAGACTGTGTGGAGATAATTTTCTAACCAAAAGCATGTTTTAAGGAGATCATGGAAAGTATAAGAGCTTTGGGATGACGCAGTAAAAAACAGCGTCACCATTTTGGCAAGTTCTGTCGAAAGACTTATGTCTGGGAGGAGGAATGGATCTGCTTTCATATTGCGGGTGACCCTCTTCAGAGGACTAAAAGAAGGCGACAGATTTGTGAAGATTAATGATGGAAAGACTGCTTTTATTTATGGAAGTGATGATACATGGAAACCATCTCGATATGGTGATTGGATGAACGGAAAAATTCACACAGGATTATAACTGGTGTTTACTTGCTTAAGGAGACTATCAGAAGAGATCACAAAGAAAAAAGAAAAATATATGAATAAGATGAGACGTGGGAACAGCAAGATAGGACTGGATAGAAATATGAACATTATTTGGACAGATTTGTGGATATTAACGCAGCAGTAAGAAGATGATTGGAATCCCCTTCGGAACTTGAAATATGGGTACCCCCAACAAAAAATTTAAAATTCGGCTTTGTAATTTGGAATTTATGTGATGTGATTTGATTTGATTTGATTGGTCGGTTAATAAAAATTATTATTATTATTATTATTTTAAAAAAAGAAGATTGGGGGCATCACATTGCAGGGCAGAGTCTCATGCAAACGTTGTGCTGCCCCAAGCCCACGTTCCCAGCATGTCTGCTCTCCTGTCTCAGTGACACCTGTGCCGGCTTGGTCATTTCCACTGAATGGAAGATGGCAGGATCCCCAAGGATGTGCTCTAAAGGGAGCTGACTTCAGGCATCAGGCCTGCTGGCAGACTAACTCTGTGTTACAAAGATGTCTGCAAATGAGACTTGAAGGCTGGCAGCATCAACCCCGCTGT